CTCAATTATAAAGAAGCTTCCAATCAATATGTATTGCGAAGATATCTTTTGTTTACTGCTTAGCAATAACATATGGTCACCTCAATTATAAAGAAGCTTCCAATCAATATGTATTGCGAAGATATCTTTTGTTTACTGCTTAGCAATAACATATGGTAAATTTCTTCTTTTTTTTTTAAAAAAAAAAGAACTAATACGACTACAGTATATCAATACAAGGTCAAAATTTTCATATCGATAGCACTATTAATCCGACACTAATTCCTTTACAGGTGGCGCTAGTCGTGTTATTAGTCGAGAACGGATTTTATTGTTGAGGACAAGATGACTTATGTAATTCAATTGCTACAATTTTCTTTTTTTTTTGAATTTAAATTACTCCATGAAAATTTAACTACTAAACATAGATATTTAAACTTTAAACACAAGCTTCTGGGATATCTTATCAAATATTCTAAAAAAAAAGAATAATAATTAAAATGAACGTAGTAATTGCTACAATTTTTATTTTTTTTTGAATTTAAATTACTCCATGAAAATTTAACTACTCAACATAGATATTTAATCTTTAAACACAAGCTTCTGGGGTATTTTATCAAATATTCTAAAAAAAAAAAATAGATAATACTTAAAATGGTTAAAATGGACGTAGTGATGAAATAGAAGGGTTTGAAGAAAGGAATAAATTAAATAGAAATTGAACTCACGCTACACTAATCCTGTTACAATATTGACAAATTGAATTTTATTATGTTATAATGTTTATTGACATTACTAAGGAGACAAAGAAATCAAATATACGGTAGTTACCTAAAGAAATTTCGCAAAATTTCAAGAATTTTCTACTGAATATTATAAATATATAATTCACAAACATATTTGTCATTCAAGCCAAAATTACTTAGATAGTTGCTCTAACACCAATTGTAGAATAATAATAGGAAACAGTTTCACTTGATAAACTGTGTATTATCAAATACAAAGTGATTAAAGGTTTGAAAAAAAATGTTATGCGAGCGGAAAAACAAATGATTTATTTGGTCTTGAAATATTAACTACAAAATTAGCCTTATACTAATAATTCGAAGATAGACTCTCGAAAAAGATGGTAAACCACATAACAGCAAGGAGTGTATTGAATTTCTCTCCAGTTATAACATTTTTGCTTACTTAGATAAAAACCAATAGGAGTAATGAAAGAGTTAGGTATTGCGGCAGTTTCAAATAAATTTTCTGGCAATGTTTTCTTTAAGTAATCCAATTTAAAATGAAAATGTGTAAACCAATAAAACAAATTCGTTATTTTAAAAATCATATGTCAATTGCAGTATAAAATAAACATTTCATTAAAAGTCAATTTTAAGCGAAAATTATCTTATGTATAATTTTATAGTAAATCAAGGCTTTAATTTAATAATATACTCATAATTATTTAAATAACTTATTTATTAGAACATAACATAAAATATTTAAATAATCACTGAAGAAATAAACCCTAGAATATATAGTAAGCATTAATATTTAAAAAAATATCGGTTATATAATAATTTGTAAGAATCATATCATCGTACCACTAATAAATCTTTTGTATTACATGAGCAATTGAAAAATACATTCTTTGTTAGATTAACAAAGATATGAATATCCGACTTATAATAGTGTTACAACATTCTATTTATTCGAAAATCACAATTCGATTAGAGTTTTGTGCAAATATGTGAATCTACTAAAATATCTTCATTCTTTTATCTTTTGTTAGTTACAAATAATACAACTGTACATTTTTTGAGAAAATTGCAATTGTAATTGCCACATTTGGTTAATTAAAAAAATAATCTAAATCGGTATTGATGAACGAGATTTTCGACGATCACTTATGTTATCGACACGTATGTGCGTACGTAAGTAAGTATGTGTACATGATTATGTTAATATGATGTCTAATTTATTTAATTGCTTTAAGTTTACAATTTATATCAACTATCAATTAAAAAGAATTATGCCATTAATTTATGTCCCATATAAAATGTTGTACCAAACCGGTTTATAAAATTGAGCTATAACTATTGAAAAAAAAAATTGACATCAATACCTTGATCGGCCGAATTTAAAGTCATGCTTTGAAATTTGTATTTTTTTTTTTTTTAATAGATAAATATTGTGTAATAAATATTTCAAAGGTTACAAAATTTCAGCGTGTCGAAACCTGCTTTTGTTTTGATAAACAAATTTAGAAACTCCTGCAATATATTTATATTATAAAACTTCCGGCCGCTTTAAAAAACTACGCCGGAAAATCAACTTAATTGAACGGAACTTCCGGTATTTTACAATAAAATTTTGTTTCTTGGTTACGGTTATGATGTGCAAGATGAAAAAACGGAGTTTGTTTAAAATTCGTTACACAAAAGATTCATTAGTAATTAATCATTGACCAATAAAAAACTTGATAGATTAATTATGCAGATTTTATTATTGTTAAAAGATATAAATAAGACTTAAAATCAACTTACTAAACAATCAGTTAAGATGAAATCAATTAAGATAAAATCAAAAGATCTAGTTGAAAAAACCAAATCATCCAAGAAAAAAGCAAATCCAATTATTATTACGGTTAACGTAAAGCACCCACCTGATCTGGATGTAGACTACTTCGTTTTGAAAAAAAAAACGCGCCCTCAAAAATTTTCAAATGCCTTCGTTTTTTATAGGACTGCGTATAACCAAACACTGCGTAGTAAAGGAATAAAATTATCTCAAAGCGATGTTTCTGCGTCCGCGAGCCTGGTGTGGAGTGGTTTGTCAGCCAAAATCAAAAATTTCTATTTTGACTTTGCGTCTGATGTGCGTAAACGATATATGTCTAAGTATCCGGTCTCATATTATCGGTGTGAATATAAGTCTGAATCTAAGTCTATGATTACATCGAAAGATGAACCCAAGAAATTAAAAAAATATAATTTTGTGTATGAAAACGAAAATCCAAAAATCGTCAAGAATATTTCTTTTCAAAAAACACAGTTACAAAAAGAGGTTCCATCTCAATTGGACATCGCCATTAATCCACCCGATCCATCTAATTCATCTAATTCATCTAATCCGCCTGCTAATGTAAACGAAAATATTCTTACAGGGCAACCTTCACTCTTTAATGAAAATCATGCTTTATGGACTAGTTATCAAAATTTATTTTGCAGAGATGAAACATTTCAATTGGTTACTATGAATTCGAATCACTCGTTTCCTTATAATGAAAGATTCAATGATAGCTTTGAATACGAAAATCAACAATTACTTAACACTTTTGACTTTGATGCACATTACATTGATAATTACATTGATAATTACATGCATTTTGAATAGAATATCGATATTAATATATATTATTAATATTGAGTAGTAATATTTATGCAATATGTATTATTTTTAATATTATAGCATTGAAATAGAATATATAGAATATAAGAAATAAAAAAATTAAAAATTTAATAATCTGTTTATAAAATATGGTTTTTTTTTACGTTAATAAAAGAACGAATAAAATTTGGTTTTCAAATAATAATGCATTAAATTTCAAATAACTGCAGGTTCATATATATATAATAATTCAATTCAGGACAAGATGAATAAAAAAAAATTTTTTTTCAAACAATATTGCATTACAGTTTAATTAACCGCAAGTTTATATATATATTATAATTCAATTCAGGCCAAGTTCGAATAATAAAAAAAATTTTTTTTTCAAACAATATTGCATTACAGTTTAAATAACTGCAGGTTCATATATATATTATAATTCGATTCAGGCCGAGTTCGAATAATAAAAAAAAAATTTTGTTTCAAACAATGCATTACAGTTCAATTAACCGCAGATTCATATATTATTATAATTCAATTCGAGCCAAGTTCCTGAGTTGGTCTAACCAAATAATCGTGATGCTTAGAGCTTATTAGTAATAATGTACTTCTTTTTCAAGAACTAAACAGCTTCTAAAGATTGTTCTTGAAGCAATTCATAACACAACATATTTGAATGTTTCATTGAATAATGAATTAATCAAAAAAAAATCTATAAACGTCTTGAAAATAAAGAAATCTTTTATTGTGAACCTTTCTTTGTACAAATTATTAGATTTTTCTTATCATTCTAATAAAGAAACAATTGTCCCTACAACGCCCTACAGATAAGTTTACTTGCAAATTTGTGAAAATTTCTGTAAGTAGAAATGCAAGTTCAAATAAGTAATGTTGTACACATGATACTGAGACAAAATTTTGCCAGTTAGCGCATCAATATTTCAAATTTATTATATAATAAATTTGCTTTAGGAAACTATATAAATAAACTAAATAAAAGTATTTTAATTGTATATACAATGTAGAGTTTTATAGATTATAATTGAAATTTCGAATGTTTGTAAGACAAATCAGGATAAAGCAAAAAGGCGAAAGCAAGATACGCGAAGAAATGGTCGACACGTGATATTGTTGCTCATTAGATCCATAGATCATAAAGAGTAATAAGTACCAATTAGATCATACTTCATAAGGAGTCATAAGTACAAATAAGACATAAAATCCAAAAAGAGTTAAGTTATGCCTTTCTTGTTCCGCTACTACATCCGCTATTACATAAGTATTTTATTGGATTGACCTGATTTATATATTTAACTATTATAAAAAACGATTCCAACTGTAATTTTATGAATGATGCAGAAATTTCTAATTGATTGAATCGATAGGTTATAGAATCGTAATCAATAAATTACAAACGTCGGCCGAAATCAAAATTTTATTGTGTCTTCTTATGTGAGTACCCGTCATTTTCGTGTATGTTTAATCGGAATTGCGTATCAGGTATCAGAAGTAACCCAGAATGTACCAGATTATTGGCAAAGAAATGATCTGCGCCAATCAAATTCAAATCTCGCAAATCAAACTCAGGTGCATCTCAGCCACAATGATCTCGCCAATCAATTTCAGGTGCATCTCAGCCACAATGATCTCGCCAATCAATTTCAGGTGCTACACTCAGCCACGCTGATCGCAACTCAAATCAGGTGCACCACAGACACAATACTCTGAACCAATCAATTAGTATGACACTGGATCTTTGTTTGAAATTTCTAGAAGTCGTATGTTAAACAATGTTATTTACTTTTAAAGGTGGATTTATTTTTAAGGAATTTTTATTATAAATTGTATAATTCGTATTTATTTTAGCAGCTATACATATTTGATTGTTATTTCGTATTTAATTATGAGCCATTGTTATTTTGAATTGTAAAAAATTTTGAATCATATTTTGCAAGACGTTACGAAAAAGCATACGAATAGCTATTTGAATTCTAATAACAATAATTCTATAGGCTAAAAGCTATAAAGAGTCAAAGAGGATATACTTTTTTGAAAAAAAAGATACAAATTAGGCCGAATATCTTTATCTTTGAAAAATGGCTTTTTTTTTTTTTGTTTATTTAAATTTATAATTTATTAATATAGTTTGTACTTGAATTTATAAATCATAAATTGCTTTGTCTTATTAATGCGTCATCAACTTGACACACATTTCGTGGTACAAAAAATCTAGTTGTATATATAAGAAAATATCAATAATAAGTAATTATCTATTCGATCTTCGGCAATTCTTTTATTTATCAAAGTTTATGAATAATTATAATGAATAGAGCCGCGTGACCCGATAATATCTGGTTATTGTAAGGGTTTTTTTTTCATCCTATTTAGTGTTTGAAATTCAATTGTTAATTTAATTAAGATTTCGCAACTAAATAAAAAAGATCTACTTACAAATTATATGAATTTAGTTATGCATACAAAAGATATCTATATACGAATTTAGTTGCGTATATAAGGATATCTATACTAAATTCACAAAATTCGTTCATGGAATCCTATATGCATTTCGAATTCAGTTGCAGAAGTTTATAAATCGTTTCGGTCCGCCAACTCCGCAACCAAATTCAGATACTGCAACTATTCTCCACCTCTCAAAAAATAAGAAAAACTCAACTAGAAAAATCCCGAATTTGCGCCACCTTATAGTTACAAAATAATAATCACTGTGTTACTATATTTATATATAGAATTAAGAATTAACAAAGATGACAGTTGAGTATATGCCTGCAGTGTCTCATGTTATGTATACTCTACACTGTTCAGGGTAAAGAGGCGTGAAAGGAAATTAAATTTAGATAGATAGTATCATTGTAATGCGTAGTGTTTAAGTAATCAGAGTCATTTCATAGTTTATTTATTTTAAACCTTGGAGGTCCTAAAATTCGATATTTGTTACGTAAATGAATCTATATTTCTATCTATTACACCAGTTTTTGGTAATAATTCCAATACATTTCTATATATGTATCTTCGAATAATTAAATTGGTATAATTGAAATATTTATATTTTGCGTTAAAATTTCGAAAAGAATTTAAGTAGATTTGATAAATTTTTTTTTTTTTGAGGTTAGTAAAATAAAGTCTTAATCTAAAATTGATAAAAAAATTTTTATATCCATCTTAAAATTTCGGTTTTTTTTTCCATTCACAAAACACACAAAGAGAACTTGTTCCTTGTTTATAAATATCCTTTGTTTATGATAACTTTAATCTATCTTATTATTCCAGACCAATAATCTTTCATTTATTAATAAATCGGACAAACATCCCCGATCAAAGCTTACTGGATAACGTAATCAAATATAAAATAAAAGATTTCAACTTATACTGTTATCAATTGTATTGTACGGAGCATAGTAAAGAACATTTAATGTTGCGATCAAATTACATAAATTACATTTTTATCATTCGCATAGCTATTATTTATATTTAGATTATTATATAAAGAAAATTCTGTGTAGCCAGTAGCAGATTTATTTATTAGTATGCATAAAATTGGTACTCTAATGTTACAAATACATCTTCATTACATAGATATTTACAATTGAGGTTAATATCATCATATGATGGCTCCGGGATTCACTTATTTATTTTGATACAACCTCTTTTTAAAAAAAAAGTTGTATATAATTATTTAAAGTTAGGGCGTTAAAAATTACTATATAAACGATTTATTATTTATTATTGTGGCTACGTAATTCTGAAAATGGTTAATTTTGAGAATTGATCCCTATTTAATACTTTAATAAGTTTTTTTAAAAAATGGTTTTAGGGTGCATTTATTTTAACTACTTTTAGTTTTAGGTTTTAATAAGTGTATTAGTGAACGTGACAATCATTTTCCTGATTAAGATTGTTACCCATAACGATAAACGATGATCAAGTTAAAAACGTAATTGTGTTAAGTAGTACCCGCCTTATTGCCTGGGTAAGGCGATCATTGCCCTAAATGTGTTTCTCCCGAAATGATTGAATCGGAGGAACAAACCAATAGTTGAAAGCATATAGAAGAACATATTCATAAAGGACATATCTAAATGTAAACATTTTATTTCTTACTAATTAAGTGAATCGTACTTCACGTTTCCCATCACATTATAACTTTATAACTGTTCTTAACGACGATTATATAATGTGTTATTAAATGAATTATATGAGTTCTAACCATGTAAAATCAATTTTCTTCAGTGGTCAAGGACCGAGCCTGACGGATGAATTGTTTCACGTAGTGATGTTAAGTAGTTCATTTTCTAATAATCTGACCATGTTTAGAATTTAATCGTCATCGTTTAAAATCAAACTATGTGGTTAAACTACTTGGATTCTCACGTATAATTGATGATCATCAATCCACATGGATTGAGCGGATGATCATCAATCTACATTGATTGAATGGACTTAGTGGATTGAATGAATGACACATGGATTGAATGGACGAACGGATGATCATCAATCAACATGGATTGGATGTTTACATAATACAAAATTAGATATTAATAATTATCTGATTAACTTGAGTTATTTTGATAAATTCGTTATTTGTGATAACGTAATTACCATCAAAACAACTCAAGTCATTCCGATTGTAAGTTATCGGATAATACTGTTATAGAATGCTACGTATCAATAACTAACTTATCTGGCTTTAAATTTAACGTACCATTTCTGGACCCCAGAAGCTGGCACATTAAATTTAAAACCAGATAATGAAGTATTTTACAAATAACTATATATTCTTTAAAATAGATGTTGAAAAGGATGAATTTAAGGTGTTCATTCAATTTGTAATCCCGGAATCCTCAGTGAGGCTTAATGTTATGACAAATGTTATGCATTGGAATTGGAATTGAAAAATGATGAACATAAGGCATTCATTCATTATCAAAAATATACTAAGATGGATAATAAAGATTGTGTTTATGAAGTTGGCTGTTTTTATGAAAAAG